CTCCTATTAGCTCCCAAGACCTTTTTATTATGTTGCAGAAATGTGCACATAGACTTTGGGAATCAATATCAATTTTATGAGAAAGAAAAAAATACCAAAGTAAAACATTTTGATATAAATCTTCTGGCACCACTGCCACAGAAATAAACTTTTTAAACTTGACATTGCCTATATTTGCTTTTCTCTGATCCAAGTTTTGGTATTCAACTTTCTTTTATGTATTAGGGCATTTCCTAAAAATGCTACTACGCAGTATTATGCAAGAGAATTTTCAGAAGAGGAAAAAGAAGCCCTTGAACAATCAAAGACTTTGGTTGATTTTCTCAACAATGTGTCCACAAGGTAAGAAAGTACATACTAAAAACTTTATAAACATAATATGCACACACTGATTTTTAATAATGGTGTCTCAAGAAGCAGCTTCCTGTGTGACTCTTAGGAGTATGAGGACAGTTGTCAGTGGGACGTGAGTGAATGAGTCTCAGTGATTCCTGCCCTTCTACTGCTGAGTTATCATGGGCCTCTCCTTCTAGGACTGTACCAAACATAGCAAGAACAATCAAGTGTACCAAGATGTTTTCCTAATTCCAAATTATCAGTTAAGTTAACTGTTGCTTATCTGAATGCCTGAGGCCAGAACATGACAGGCTGTGGGTGAGATAAAAGTCTAAACACAAAATTAATTGATGCTTTCTACACAGTGGCTGACGGTGACTTTATACAAAGGAGGGTCCGACTTTTTATACCTTTCATGGAAGTAAAGGGAAGTTTCGCATCACATGATTTAGTCCAGCCTAGAATATATGACAAGAAGTACGGAGCAGCCGGATCCTGTAAATTGAGAGCTGCCCAGTCACAGCACAGACAGCTTCTTCACTGTTCCAGAGAGACCCGCAGGGAGGCAGGGCCTGTGAGATGAGCAGTGCAGGCCCATGTTCTAACAAGAAGGGACTTCTGGGATTCCCTCCCTGTTGTCAAGGAGAGAGAACCCAGACCCAAAAGAAAGAACAACATTTCTATAAGAACTGATAGTTAGTACTGGTCAGACTAAATAAGAAACCTATACTAATATTACTGGTTTTCTTCCCTTTTTAAAACTGTTCATCGTTATTTAATGTTTTTAAGTTTGGGGAAGTGTGCTTATGGTCTAGGAGTAAGTTGAAGCATCTATCTAATTATTCTTTTACCAATAAAAACTCAGGAGTCAGATATGGGGTAAAAACCTGATTGCTCAGAGAAGCCACGGTAAAGCGACTTCAGAAAGGCCTTTTGGCCTGAGGAGGGAGAAAGAGAGGGGGTCACTGCTTCTCTGATCAATCAGGTTTTCACCCCTCATCTGACTCCCGAGTTTTTAGTGATAAAAGAATAATTAGATAAACATGTCATACAATTGACCAGAAAAGTGGTGAGGAAGTGGCTGAGACCTCTCTCTCCTTCCTCCATCCAAAAAGGGATGAGCACCTTCCTAAGCCCCTCCTTACTACTTCCTGTGTCTCTCTATCAGTCCTCAGTCCTCCAAAACCTCTATGGCTGATTTTGGTCAGCTAGTAGCAAGCTCCGCCCTCTGATTCAAAGTAAACTTTATTGCCAGTCTTGGGAGTGTCACCAAAATGTCCCACAACAGTGAACACCTTTTTAAAAAGTGAGTTATTTTATCTAAAATAAACCTAAGTGTAGACATTTTCCAAAGAGGAAAATGGTGAGAGATATTTCCAAGGGATTCATGCAGTGCCAGCCTAGGGTTATAAGCAGTGATGGTCCCGATGGGCACACACATCTGGAGCCCATCTTCATGCCTGTGATGGCAGTGGCAATGTCACTGGATGCCAACATCCAGCCTGTTGGCTGCTTCTCTTTTAAATGAAACAGTGTTGAAATAGCCCTGCAGCAGAACGAAATCATGAACACATTTATCGATGACTGGAAGAACCTCGCAGAGGAAGAAAGCACTTTTGGGGACAAGACTGACACCCACCTGAAAGAGTACCAGTCCTTTACAGACCTTCACAGCACCATGGAGAAGATGATCACCTGCGTCTCGTGGCACCCAACCATCTATGGTAAGAAAGTAATGCCAGGGGTTCCCTTTCGGTCTGACTTTGAAAAAGTCTTACTTTCATATATAAAATCGAAAATGAGATTGATTTCAACTTAACATATAAAACTTGCTGAGTGCCAGGCCCCTGCCAAGCAAGCATTTCCCACACCTCACTTGGGGGAAAGGCTTGTTCAGGTCACCCGACTGCTGGGGCAGTGAATGAAGAATCTGTCTTTGCCTGGGGCCTGCCAGACTCCGCCGCTAAATTCACTGCCCCTAACACTCTGGACAGACATCTTCAAAGAGTTCAACAGCTAAAGGAAAAGCAATCAGCGTGTCCAGTTGTAGCCATGGAAAGAGAAGTCTCCACTCTCTCCCTTCCTTCCTCCTCACTGGCATTTTTCTTATTAAAAATATTTCTTGAAGGCTGGACAGATGGCTCAGTGGTCAAAAGAACATACTGCTCTTGTAGGAGACCAAAGCTCATGCCCCGCACCCACATCGGGTGGCTCACCTGTAACACCTGTAACTCCAGCTCTGGGGGATCTGACACCTCCGACTGGTCCCCATGGTCCCCACACTCATAAACACACACCACAGAGAGACAGGCACATATACACACAATTAAAAATAAAATCAAGTCTTATTTTTAGTAACAAGCCTTCCAAGGAAGCTGTCCATGCTAACCACACATCTCAGTTTGAAACAGCTACATTTTCAGTGCTGAGTGGCATGCGACTCATGCCTACAACGTCAAGTCTACTACCAGGACAGGCACAGGCAGAGGCCTCTCTGTGGACCTTGGCTGCTGACCACTTCGCACGTGTATTTCAACCAGGGCTCATAGTCGTATCGGTGGCTGTGCGTCTCTCCTACGAAGAGAGAGTCCACTTCTCGGGGAAACTACTGCTACAACCATCATTGCTTCTCTTCTGGAGTTTCTCTGACCCCATACACCCTCAGGTAACAAGGACGGAGCACTGAAAGCTTAACTTTTGCAAATACCACGTCATCATGTCTTTAGAGCAATTTTAACTGCAAATTCTCCTAATGTTGTAAACGCTTAGAAAATAGGATTTCTTTCCTTGCTGCTTGCCATCTGAGCAGAGCTAAACTTTACAGTTATTCCATTGAAAGTCTATTGGACAAGTCAATTTGAGAAAACAGAGCTCTTGGAGCTGGGGGGATGGCTCACTGTAAAGTATCTGCCATGAAAGCTCGGAGACTGAGTTCAGGTCCTCACAAGCCATGTAAAAAGCCGCGTTGATTGTCATATTTGTAACCACAGTGCTTGGGATGGGAGATGGGGGGTCTCTAGGGCTCATTGGCCAGTCAATCCAGGCCAATTAGTGACCTTCAGGTTCAGAAAGGACTCTGTCTCAAAACATAAGGTAAAGAAGCAATTGAGGACCCCTGATCGCTACCCTACACACAGACATGCATGCAACTGCACATATGTGCATGTACGCACACACGCAGCTCTTTGATGGGTCTTGTTTAAATATTGAGATGTTCAAATGCAGATAGGTTTTCAGCTTCCTAAGAATTTCCTCAATTCTGACGATCACCAGTAGGGGGTGATAGTGAGCAAGAATAACTGTGTGGGAGAGTACTGGGAACCATGTTCCCACAATAAAGTGCAGGATCCTTTTTTCAACTCTCTCATTTAGTGGCAGCCAATCATCAAGCGGGTCCCAAACTTGGAACTGTATATTCAACTTTCCAGACTTTAAATAGTTTAAGCAAAACACACCTGAGCATGAGCACATACACACCCCCACACACTCAAACCCACCCCCTTATCAAGCCATGTAAAACGAGACTGACGGCTGGATTCATTTCTTGTTTCCATTTTCTTCTCAGTAAGAGTTCTTACTACAAGGTGCTGTTTGCATTATATTATTTCAACGATCTTCAATGTAATAACACTCCACTCCTCTGAGGGTCTTAATTACTGTGGAATAAAGGCCTTCTCTGATGAGTCTTAGCTTCCTTCTTCACCACATCTGGAGTAGGGCAGTTTTGTTCTAGGGGACTGTACCTATTATACATTCAGAAATCAGAGGGCTAGATCGCTAGCCTTTCACTTACTTTACCCCAAACTAGTGCAGGCCCGTCTCCTGAGAGGGCAACGTCCTGGTGCTCTCCACTCTGCCACAGAAGTGCAGCTGAATGTCTAGTCTGTTAGGATGCTAAATGACTTTTCTCACCTCTATTTTAAAGAGCAGCTTGAAAAGGGCAAGCATGGATTGTGGAGATGATGCTGTGGGTAAAGCAGGCGAGAGTGAGGACCTGAGTTCAGATCCCCAGCACCCATGTAGTTATTGAGTGGCTGTGGTAGCCCTCCTGGAATGCCAGTGCTCTGGAGACTGAGGTAGGGGACCTTGGGACAAGTTGGATGACTAAAGACAGGTGAACTAGCTGAACTGACTCTGAGTTCTACTGAGAGACCCTATCTCACTAGATAAGTCGGAGAACGATTGACATCAACCTCTGCCCTACACACACTACACACACACACACACATACACTACACATACACTACACACACACACACATACATACACACATACTTATGAACACACATATACATACACCCATACACATGCCACACACATATGCACATGCACAAAAAAAATAGATACTTTTTAAGGGATAATACAAGTGATTTACATTTTCTAATCAAAACTATGATAGTATTAGTATTTTTACTTTCAAAAATAGAGCTCTCTCTAAAGTCCAGAAAGTGCCATAAACTAAAATAATTTAGTTTTATAAAAATCCAGTTGGGCCAGGTATGGTAGTGTGAGCCTTTAATCCCAGCACTCAGGGTGCAGAAGCAGGTGGATCTCTGTAGGTGTGAGGCCAGCCTGGTCCACACAGTGAGTTCCTGGACAGCCAAATCTACATAGAGGGACCCTTCTCAAAGAAAGGAAAGAAAAATCCAGTTGGAAAACTTTACCTGGGGCCTAGCTTTTGCCGCTGTAGAAAACAACAGCCGTGCGCTGTCTTGCCTGGTGGTGATGTTAACTTAATGATTCCCTCATGCATACTTTTCATCTTCTGTATTTCATACTGTTTTAAATTTTGAAATATTTACCAACATTACTTCCAGATTCTCCCACTCAGGGAATTTTCTTCTTGACTGTCCACTATGTGCCTGAGTAGATACTGTAGAGAAGAAAGACAAATATCATATCCTCACAGAGTTTATCCTCTTCACTCTTCAAAAACACCAATTGCATTTTCTTTTGTTTTAAATATGATAACATGCCCCAATAATTATATATCCCTTGGGTGGATAATAGAAGGAACTAGATCTCTGAGGGAGCTTACCCACTAGTCTCATTTGTGGGACCAAGGTCCATGATAAAATTCAACAAAAGTGCCTCTGAGGACTGGCTCAAATGTGCATGGCTTACAGACAGCTACAAAATTAGACTTCTACCCACCTCAGTATTGTTTAATAGGTTTTCTTGTTCTTTTCTTTTGACTCATGGGGTTGACTTTAGTTGATGCTGGAGAGCCCCGATGACATCTTCTGCTTCGAGTTCTGTCCGAGTGACCCTAATATCATCGCTGGAGGCTGCATAAATGGACAGGTAATTAGGAATTGTCTTCAGATGTTTACTGATGCTGTAAGAAGTTTTGATTTTGATAACTTTAGAGCTTAGGGGTTCAGTGTGGCACAGGGAAGGCATGTTGGCCATATGTCAATCACTCTGTCAGGACTTGAGTAGAAAGATATATCAGACATGGTATTGGCACTTGAAGTGTTCATAGGGTAATTCAGTCAGAATAACAAAACTCAGTTAAATCTATCTTTTTTCACTTATGCAGCCCAGACCCACTTGCCTAGGGATTGACTTGTGAAGATGGGCCCTTTTACATCAGTTAACAATCAAGAAACTCATGCCTCATGGACATGCCCACAGGCCAGTCTGACCTGGGGAATTCCTCTCTCTTCCCAGATAACTCTAGTTTGTGTCAAACTGACAATAAAAATTAACCAATAGAGCAAGCTGCAAGCATCGCTACCTCTTAGGAAAGAGACCATTGCTTGAATATCCCGGATGCTATGTAGGAGTTACTAAATAATGCAGAATGGAAGTGGAGATTCACTGGAAAATACACATACATCATTGGGATGTACTTGGCACTACATTTCCTTTATTTTTCTTCTAAGACATTTAATTTATACCACATTGAGATTCTACCCTCCAATATTGTTGTATTGGGGAAGCAAAATAAAAACCTTTACAGCCTTTCTATGATCTAAGCTCTGAGTTATTTCAATCCAGTGAGTTTGACTGTTAGAAACTTCACTTAGGGCACAGGATGTAGCTAGAGAGGGTTACCCAGCATGTGCAAAGCCCTGAATTCGATCCCCCAGAGAATGGTGGCACACACCTGCACTCCCAGCACTTGGGAGGTGGAGGCAGGAAGATCCTGAGTTTTAGGCCATCCTTGGCTACATAGATAGTTAGAGGTCAGCCTGGGCTACATGAGACCCGATCCCAATTAATACAATCCAATGGAGGTGTCTGTTCTTTCTGTATGTGGCTGAGAAGCTTGCTTAGTTTAGATTCACACAGCAGCAGCTCCCAGGTGTATTTCTCCAGAACAACAGGAAAATCAGGAAAACGAATAGGTCCCTGGCTTTTGTCTAACAGCTACTGCGATCGTGGTAATCACCCAGAGCCATTTCCTAAGCCAAGAAAACCTGAAGTGCCTTTGCATTTGTGACAAAAATGGTCTGACTTTGTTTCAGAATATTTTAGAAGGCCACTGTATAATAGAATCACTCATGATTCCCCAACATTGGCATTCCGTCACTGGAAACAACTCACGCTTGGTGTTGCGTATTCTACTTTGTTCTTGTTCTTAAGAGAATGATCATCCAAGTAACATACAAATTCTGAGTTAGCCATTAGAGGCAATTAAGATAATTTGTCTGCTTTTCTTCCCCCATGATTAATTCTTGAGAATCTGGGTAAATTCTGTTTCTCCCCAGGTCTGAAGCAGCTATACCTATATTCAGAGCAGAAAGGACAAAATCTTACCAAAGTATGGGGAAGTGCATAATATTTGTCTGACATTTATTTACTCAATAACAGCATTTGATAACATGAATATGAAACAGAGAGTTGGGGATACTGATGGAGAGACAAAAACATTCTCTTCAGTATCTGTTCTACAAGTTGTCAGTTACGTAGGCTACAGGCTAGATCTGATTACGCCCTAAGGTGACTGATTTTTCTCAGGCTGTATACCAATCGCTTCCTAAAAAGCCACCTCTCAGACCCAATTCTCTATGTCCTGACAATGCTGTGCTAACATTTCTCTCTGTTTTAGATTGTCCTGTGGGATATCACGTCACACGCAGACCGCATAGAAAACATCAAGGCGGGCGGCAGCAGAAGCAAAAAGGCCATTCTCAAGGTTGGCTGCCCCTAGCCTCTCATTCACAAGGACTCAAGGTTGGCTGCCCCTAGCCTCTCACTCACAAGGACTCAAGGTTGGCTGCCCCTAGCCTCTCATTCACAAGGACTCAAGGTTGGCTGCCCCTAGCCTCTCACTCACAAGGACTCAAGGTTGGCTGCCCCTAGCCTCTCACTCACAAGGACTCAAGGTTGGCTGCCCCTAGCCTCTCACTCACAAGGACTCAAGGTTGGCTGCCCCTAGCCTCTCACTCACAAGGACTCAAGGTTGGCTGCCCCTAGCCTCTCATTCACAAGGACTCAAGGTTGGCTGCCCCTAGCCTCTCACTCACAAGGACTCAAGGTTGGCTGTCCCTAGCCTCTCACTCACTCAAGGACTCAAAGTTGGCTGTCCCTAGCCTCTCACTCACAAGGACTCAAGGTTGGCTGTCCCTAGCCTCTCACTCACTCAAGGACTCAAAGTTGGCTGTCCCTAGCCTCTCACTCACAAGGACTCAAGGTTGGCTGTCCCTAGCCTCTCACTCACTCAAGGACTCAAGGTTGGCTGTCTCTAGCTTCTCACTCACAAGGACGCTTCTAACCATTCCAGAGTTTATCAAAATGCATATAACAGATTCACTAAGCTCTTTAAAGCTCAGTGAGAAACACAGCAATAATTTTGTTTTACTACCTTCACATCTGCTTGCAGGCATGTCCTGAATCACTTTGTATGGGGGTGTTTACTAAGGACACAGCAAAACAAGCTTCTTTGGCAATGCAGGATTTTATGGGGTTGTGTTGCTGTGTTTATTGTTAAAGAAAATGAAGGAAGCAAATAATGTGTCTAAAGTGACGCTGTTGAAGGAGCCCAGGACAGAAGGACAGGAAGTCTGGGTATCCAGGTGCTGTCGCACAGGCTAGGAGCTTGGATGCGCCACCTCACCTCTCCGAGAATCGGTTCGCATGTATAAGATGAGAGAGTGACAGTGGGTAAGAGCACCTGTCCCCAAGCCTGATGACCGGAGTCCCATCCCTGAGACCCACATGGTGGAAGGAGAGAGCTGACTCCCAAGAGTTATCCTCTGACTTCTACACTCAGGCACACACACACACATGTGCACACGTACAGAATAAATTAAGTAGTGCAAATCTTAAATTAAAAGAATACATTATGGTTCTGTGAGGCTGTGGATTCCATTAGGAGTACTGGGAAGAGCAGTCAGCCTCCAGGTCAGTACTTATCCTCCGTATCACACATCCCTCCAGTCCCCGTTCTCCAGCCTTGGGATCCATAGGGCTCTCGCTGAGGAGTGGTAAGATGTCTACATCCCTGTACCCATGGAAACACTCCTTCAAGAATAGATTGGGTCCATTTTCCTTGTGTAGTTCAGAGATCACACTATATTGAAAGGGAGAGTTGGTAAGTGTTACTAAATATGTGGTATACTGAAACACTAATTTGTGTCTTCCCTTAACTGATACAACTCTGGGTTTTTCCATTTTAACAGCAATAGCCAGTAAAGTGGAGTTCACCCATCAGCGCTCTGCAATGTAACTTTCTTTTGACATTTCTCTAGCCTATGTTCCTCCTTGAACCAGACAGTAATAAGGAAGCGATGTACATCAGACACTGTGCGGTGTCTTCAATAGAAAACGGACATAGGAAAGTAATCACAGATATACACTGGCTGCCAGACTCCTTTGAGGTGAGTGCTGATGGCTGATGGGTGCTGGGACTCAAACCTTGTCTGTCTGGAGGAGCAGTCAGTGCTCTTAAACACCCAGCCATCTCACCAGCCCAAATTCTGTTAGATTTGTTTTGTTAGGTTGAGACAATGTCTCATGTATCCCTGACTGGCTTTGAACTTACTATGTAGTCAAGGATGGCCATGAATTTCTGCCTCTCCTGTCTCCACCTCCCGAGTATATGTACACCGTGCCCAGGGTATGTGGGACTGCTGGAGGTCAAACCAGGGTTCTGGGCACACTTAGCAGCCACCAACTGAGCTAGCCACATTCCTGTTTAGTTTATAAAATACGTTTTCCAAGCTTCTGGAATAGTACCGTGGTTTAGGAGTTTGCTCTTGCTTCCTTTCTGTCACTGTAATAAAATGCTCTGACTAAAAAACCTTAGGAGCGGGAAGGGGTTACTTGGCTTACATGTCCAAGTCCATCCTTGAGAGAAGACAAGGCAGGAACTTGAAGCAGGAACCGTGGAGGAACACTTGCTAACTCCATCACTAGCTCCTTCTTGGGCTCATACTTAGCTTTCTTGGGGTTTTTTTGTTTTTCTTTTTTGTTTGTTTTCCAGGCAGTGTTTCTCTGTGTATCCTTCACTGTCCTGGAACTCACTCTGTAGACCAGGCTGGCCTCGAATTCACAGAGATCCACCTGCCTCTGTCTCCCGAGTGTTGAGATTAAAGACATGCACCACCTCGGCCCACCATTATACAGTAGGCCCAGAATCAGCTACTTAGGGATGGTTCTATCCACAATGGGTTGGAACCTCAGGTACCAAGTAATAAGGTAATTTCCAACTGGATCTAGGCAATTCCTCAGCCAAGGCTTTCCTCTGTGTTGATTCTAGACACAAGAGGCTGTGTCTAGTTGACAAAGATAATCATTAGGACAGAGTTCTAAATCTTTAAAATGTAAGGCCCTAGAGTGGTAAATCTCTGATACCCTCAGAGTGGCCTCAGTAGAAAGATAAATTCTTAAACTATCAGATCCAATGGAAGTTGACATTCGGCACCAACCAGAAAGGGTTGGGAGCTGAGGGTGGGTCAGCCTGGTCTGCAGTTGCCTGGCCAGTGTGACGTCTACGGGATTGGGTGCGGCATCTCCTTCTCACTCAGCCCACTGGAAACCCATCACTGTACACTATTTTGCTCATTTACCCAATCAAGACAGTCATGTTTCCATACACATTTGAGAGAGCGGCCGTGACAAGTTGCCTACAAACCCTTTAGGCTCCTTAACAAGTAGTTAGTGGGGACTTTGGACCTCCTAGGACTGTGGGCGGGCCCTGAAGAGCCTCTGTGTGCTTGCAGAGTTGTGCCAGTAATTTGACAGTGGACACCATCAGTTTCCTTTTGTCTTTTATTCTCCTTGTTTTTAATCCTGGGGTTTAGGGGGACAGGGTCTCTCTATGTAGCCCTGGCTGTTC